GATCAATCTCATTTGATTCAGCATTTCTTGCTTTTCTTCCTCTTCTCACCCACAGGTACATGTCCAGAAACAGGAGTGGAGGGACCACTCCTTTCACCACCTACCATGACAGGAGGAACACTACTAGAGGCGCTACCCAGATCAGCCTCAAGCTCAGCCATAATTGACTCAAGTACGTACCTGCAAGGTAGCCTTACAAGGCACATTTGCCATGTACACATTTCATAACTGTAACAGGTACAGAACTTGATTATTGGTTTTGTTTTATGTTTTATTTTAAGTATCGATTTGATACTTGGTTTGTTTTAAGTATCATTTGATACTTGGTTTTGTTTTATGTTTTGTTATAAGTATCAATTTGATACTTGGTTTATTTTAAGTATCACTTGATACTTAGTTTTGTTTTATATTATGTTTTAAGTATCATTTGATACTTAATTTGTTTTTGTTAGGCGGAGACAATCTGATAGACTTCAGAGCTATCTGGACTAACCAAGATTCGTTTCTGTAGACTGAGATTGTCTAGGAAGGCTAGAATCTATTTGTTTCATTTACGACTACTAAGAGCAAAGTAAATTCGGTAAAGTAAAATAGAATCATAAAAACAATATTATATTATTAGGATCTCTTCTCTGTTGCTTGATGATATCTAAAGCTTGTAAGGCACTTCAATATTTATATTCTGCGTCTGAGTATTCGCGGACTACATCTATCTATTATACAACTATGTACAGTCATGTCCGGAAAGTTTTCGTACCCCTGAGGTACAACCCTACAACACCTTATCACCACAACAACCCTTCTTACCATGGCCCCTCCATATATCCTAAGAGCAAGAGAAGACCTGAATAAGGAAATTTATACTCGGTATAAACATACAGATATAGAACATGACAAAATTTCTAAGTCTTTAGGTATATCCAAGTCAACTGTTCAGTCTGTAGTTAAAAGAGCTAAATTTAGGTGTGGAAACGCTCACTATGCAAAAAGAGGTGGAAGACCAACGAAGAATACCAACATAAAAAGAAGAATAGTGGATTCAGTTATCAATGTCAAGCCTCATTTAACATTACATGATATTACTAAAAAAGCAAATATTGGTCTTGGTAAAACCACTATTGATAAAATCATTTCATAAGCTAGTTTTAAGCTTCTGATATCTAGGAAAAAGCCTTTTTGGAGAAAAGGACAAAAGGAGAAAAGAAGGGAGTTTGCTAGGAGAAGGAGGAACTGGAAAGAGGCATGGAATTGGGTTGTTTTTATGGATGAAGCCACTATTATTTATGATCCAAATCCAACAGGTAGAAAGGTTAGAGTTAGAGCTAATGAAGAGCTAGAAGAAAAAAACTTAAAGCCTAGCTTTAAGTCTGGAAGGACTAGCATTGGAGTATATGCTATAATGATGAAGGAAGGAAAGACAGAGTAAATTCTTGTGAGAAAAAGGAGGGAAGAGGAAAGAACTAGCAAAAGAGACAGACTTGGCCTAAACTCTCACTAATATGCAACTGAGATCCACCAGCTTTTCCTTATCCCTTTTATAGAGGGTCTGGATAGACCCTCTGACAATATCTACTTTGCTGCAGACAATGCTTCCTGGCATGGTGGTGAGGAAAATCGAAAATTAGAAGCAGACTGTAGTTACAAAAAACTCCTTTGGCCACTCAACTCATTAGATCTCAATCCTATTGAGAACACATGAGCACTACTCAAAAGAGTCCTTGCCAAGCGATTCTCCAGACTGGAAAGAAGGCCTCATAGTGCAGCTGAATTGTTTGAAGCTGCAAAGAAAGAGTGAGATATAATTCCCCAAGAGAAATTGGATAGATAGATAGATAGGATGCCTAAGAGAATGCAAGCTGTACTGGATGTAAATGGAGGCCATACAAAATGGTAATAATGTTTTTTTATTGTCTACTAGCAATACTATGTTTTCTTTAATTGAATTCTTTACATTTTTTTTGAAATTTTTATGGTTGGGGGTTGTAGATGTGCGGTTGCCATGCGAGGGTACGAAAACTTTCCAGACACAACTATACTTCTCTGATTATAACTTGTAACATTGGGTATTCTTAAAAGGTACAAACACCTGTAGACTCTGAAAATCACCACACCCCTTTTGGCAATTACAATATAACTAACTAGAAACTATACTGTTCCCAATAGTAGTTAATCGATCATTAGAGTCTTTAGACTTGTGGCCTAATTCTCAAGTTGAACTGAGTTGGCCCCTATTGTCTCCGTTATTAATGAAATGATCAGTTTCATCTACAGGTTATATCTGTAGAGGTAGTTGTAATCACATTCTTTTTATATCATCTGACTTCAAACCTTCATAACTTCTTACTCAATAGATAGATGTCTTCTGGAAAACTTCCTACTAATTCACAGGAAGCTATTCCACCAGATTGACAAATATTCCCTTGGTGAAAAACCCTTAGTTGCTCTGGGTAACAGGATTTTAATCGCTGATATAGTTTTAGAAGTTATCCCTGTGGCTACAATATATTCTGAAACCAAGTTGTATCACTCCATGAAGTCCATTGGCTTCTGTAGTAGTATCCCTCGGAGTTTTAGCCTCTCCTGGTTATTGTAGAGTGGATGTAAATGTATTGGTCTCTCGTTGAGATCCTTTACCATTCGATACCATCTTCTTTGTATGAAAACGTCCTATTACCTAAGACCTATACTAAAGTCATTACATATTTGAAACTTAGTAACCCTCTGAGTAGTTGATGGATTTACTCTATTCTACTTCCCAGACCTAGCTGAAGCTCCCCTCTCATATATCTTACTATCAGGATCTGATCAGACATATGGCGGCAACATATATGGTGTTATTCTGACACCTTCAATTCTGTGGCATTATAGTCACAGGACCCAACTGAGGTTAATAGGTATGATGACATGCAGGCCCTGTAAAGGGGCCATAGAGGGGTGTTGGAGACCAATGATTCCAATTCCGGGTGGGATTACCCTACTTAGGGTGATTCCTAGATATCAGATCCCAGTATTCCTAACAGTTTTACCACAGTGTATCATTCGATATCTTTGAATAGTCTCATACATGCTAGACATGAACGGATTTATGTATTTAAAGACCGCCTGATTCTATGATGGAAACAGTAGACTTCGACAGACAGTATTTCAATATACTTAGTTGAATGGTTACTTTATAGTTTTCTCAGTACACCCTCAAATCCTCCTTTAGTTCTCAGCTCTCACCTTCTCTCTGGTAGAGCAGACCACCTGCCAACTATCTTACCTATCACTGATAACTTGACTAGCATCTTGCAAATACATTACCATAACTCATAATTGAATCATGTGGCAAACATAATAAATCATAACATAAAAAAGTCATATGACCATTTTGGTCATATGTGGGAAAAGCTTAACATACCTATAACTCATCATTTTGAGTCAGGTGAAACCACTTTCCTCACTAAGCCATATTGGTACCATTTATATACTAAATACTTTATCACAAGAAGTATCTCTAAGCTGATAAGAGATTATCAGGCAACAGAGAAGAGACCTTAACAATATAATATTATCTTCATGGTTGAACTCTACAATTTTATACTCTTAGTAGTCATAAATGAAACAAGTAACTCTTTGAGCCTTCTTGGACAAATCTCTGTCTACAAAACAAATCTTGATTGGCCTAGACAATTCTGAGTCTATACCAATCATCTCCGCCTAACAACTAGTACATATATGCATACAGACAACTCCTCTACATATATCAGTTGTTTATTAAATGGATTTTAATTATTATCCATTCCACCTTGCTCTGAGATTATTCCCAGACATCTCAAACTCATGTGCAACTATAGTAATATTTGGCCTCTCAATTTCCAACAACCTCCGACAAGTATCACCAATTCTAGACTCGATATTGCTATAACTTTCTGGCATTGATACTGTGTTTTGATCAAGATAATTGGAGGTTGGAAAAACAGTGGAGGGTGAATCTTATGTTGAACTGAGAAGTGACATTGAACTGAAAGGCATGTCTTAGACATGCTGCAAGATTTGGAACTGCGCACTGTTCCACAATCGGCAGGAACCTTGGCATGGTTAGTTCAAGTATAGTATGATAGCGAGGGGGAAAGAGCCCGAGGGATACAGTAACGGAAAAACTCCCACCCACCCCGCTGGTTCCAGGCTCATATCTCACAGCAGCAGAGATCTTGTGATCAAAGAAGAAAAAAAAAAATTTTCCTCACCATGCGTTTTGGATTTCTGTGCATATCTAATATAGGCTTACTTGATTGGGCGTCGGGATTGTTGGGAGTTTTCCCGTCCCCACATAAATTATATGTCCCTTGTAAGATACTTTGGCTCTTCCCCCCGCGGATCTTGTGAGGCTTAGAGGGCATCATAATTCTAGGGCGCTCTATGCCTATGGCGGAGTATGATATCTAGGACTTTTTTTTTTGCATTTAACTATTTGAAAGCGAACTCGCGGACACTTTCATACGGAGGTTTAGGATACTAAAAACTGCAAAGTATTTAAAGTAAGATATCAGAAGTGAAGGAACAGGAAGGAGGGACATGACGGGATGGGATATGTACTGTACTTGTATGTGTACGAGTAGTGATTCCTGCGATGCTGTGTGTTGCCAAGACTCTCCGGGCCAACTTTGTCAGCTCCTTGAGGGCGGCATGAGTTTGCCCGGTCTGGGCGTTTTCAGGTTCCTTGTTATTGCACAGGATACTGGCAAGAACTTTCTTCTTTCTCCTCTGACCTGAAAATACGACATCATTCTTACTGTTAAGAAGTTTCTGCTTCCCTTCTCCTCCGCCATTTCTCTCCTCTTTCCTTTAACAATATTGCCATACCACAGACGAACTTTACCCATAGCTTCCTGTGACCTAACTCACCCTTGCCGCACGCCTAGCTTAGGGCTCTCCGTGGACCAGCCACGCTTGGCACGCTAGTTACGATTTAAAGGGTCACCAAACCTTGTCGTCACTTCACTTTCTTCACCTTCGACGATGGTTGACTATGTTGAATCGCCAAGTATTGGTCCTTCAGGAAAAGCTGAGGTAGTGGGTGAAGAGGGCGGCGTCAAGGGGGGCACGGGAAAGAGCAATGGAGTGATTGTTTCGAAGAGGTTTGACGAGGAGAACATTCAGAAGGCTTTCGGAGGAAGATTCGAAGGGAATGGAAGCGGGCTTTCGATAGCAAGCGTGCATGTCACACCCGCTCAGGAACAAACTTTGGATAGGGTTGGGGCTGACCAAAAGGCAAGAACACCTGCGGGAGTGGAAATCGAAATGGGATCCACTCCGACACCTATTGGGCCCGAGGAAAAGGAGGAAGGGGAATCTTCTCAGCCGCCAAACACATCGTCTGAAGCTTCAATAGATCTGTTAGCCAGCGAAGCTGGGACCTTATCCATCTCCCCCTTAAATCCGGAATCGGTTCCTGCGGCCCCTATGGACTCGTTGATACCCGGGAACGACGGTGAGGATTATAGACCTCCTACACCTTTGAAGGACGATGCGCTTGCAAAGCGTGAACAGGATGCTGCTCTTTCTACTCCTCCCCCCCCACCTCCACCAAAAGACGTGCCACCAAAAGATGTCCCACCAAAGGACGTTCCACCGAAAGATGTGCCTCCAAAAGATGTGCCGCCAAAGGATAGGGTGCATCTTTTCCCATCGACTATGCCCCGGCCCAGCAGGCCTTGTTCGAAATCGGCATCACCATCCCGCAGGGGCTCATCACAACAGGGAAGATCGAGTGGATCTTCCTCCGAGGACGAGGCGGGGGATAGTACCCGTTCTGAAATTCATAATATTTTTGAACAAGGTGGTGCCCCGGCCTCTACGGAACATCTACACCCTAGTTCTTCAGCTTCGCCAACTCTAGCTGAAGCAATGATTGGCGCTCGACACCCGCCGAGAACGTCCTCGCTTGATGGGGCCGATTACTTGGCCCGCGCTTCATCCGTCACGCCTAGCCTCTTAGAAAAAGGCAAGTCGGCCTTATCAAAAGAACCGGATTCCCATACTGCACACGCACATACTGTTCACCAACCACCGCCCCCGGATGAAGACCTCCCATTCGACTTTCACAGATTTTTATCTCAGTTACGCCATCGGTCCGCTGACCCGGTGGCAAAATTCCTTCGCAGCTTTTTAAACGAGTTTGCGAAGAAGCAATGGATGGTCCATGAGCAGGTCAAGATTGTGTCTGACTTTTTGAATTTCATATACGGAAAAATGGAGACATGCGAGGTTTGGCTAAATGTGGGTGAAGTGGAGATGGACAATGCTAGAGAAGGAATGGAGAAGCTTGTTATGAACAGGTTGTACACGCAAGCCTTCTCGCCTGAGATTTCACCGCCTCAGGCAAATCCTACCGTTGGGTCTAGGCGGTACCGGAGGAATCGGGATGAAAGGTTTCCTGGAAGAAGAGGTCAGCACCAAGAGGACGTTGAGAGAGATGAAGTCCTGGCACAGAAGGTGCGAATCTACGGTTGGGTTCGTGAGGAGCATCTTGACATTCGGGACGCTGTTACCGAAGAGAATGGCCGGAAATTCCTTGACTTGGCGGTCAACGAAATGACCAAGATGGGCAGTTATAGAGCTCCCAGGGATAAAGTCATTTGTGTGCTTAATTGCTGCAAAGTGATATTTGGTGAGTCATTCGAAAGTTTCTGGGTGCGCTAATGATGCTAATATGGTGGGTTAGGGTTACTGCGGCATTCTGGCGGTGACGAGAGTGCGGATAAGTTTGTACCGCTGCTGATTTATGTCGTTCTCAGAGCGAACCCGGCCAACCTGGTGAGCAACGTACAGTATATCCTACGATTCAGGAACCCGGATAAACTTAATGGGGAAGCGGGATACTATTTGAGTAGCTTGGTGCGTTTTCACGCGGCTCGCTGGAGGCTGTAGCTGATTTATAGATAGATGGGAGCAATTCAGTTCATAGAAGGACTTGATCGCTCAAGCCTAACCATCACAAATGAGGAGTTTGAGAGAAACGTGGAGGCAGCTGTAGCGCAGATAGCGGAACGCCCATTGCCAACAACTACTACTGACGCATCCAGAGGAGATGATGGCGAAATTGTCAACGAGAAGGGTGACCGCTCCGGCCCATCGGTAACGCCTAGGGTATCGTCTGAGCAACCCCGCTTCTCCACCTCCTCGAGGGAGAGCAACGACTCCTCTACCTCCAATGGTGATGATGAAAAACTCGCCGTGGCTGGTCTTCTCCGCAGTATCCAGCGCCCGCTAACCACCATTGGGCGAATGTTCATAGATGAACCGACAACCGGCAACGCAACCACAGCCGCTGGAGGACCCGCCCTAACTCCAGCACCGGGAAACACCCCCCGTGGCTCCCCCAGCGCGGAAGACAGTCTCCTAACAGCCGTTGGCGGCCGTCGCAAACGCGAGGACAAGCTCACAGCAGCAGAAGCCGCAGCCCGCCAGGCATCCGCGGAGGTGGAACAAGCCCGCATGATCCAACGGAGGGAGCACGAGAGTGTGGTCCAGGTGCTACAGAACATGTTTCCGGACCTGGACAAGGAGATAATTGCTGACGTGGTCCGGATGAAGCAGGGGAGGTTAGTGCTGTTCTTTACCGGCGGCGTGCTTGAGGATTTGAGAAAAGCTCGACTGACGATTGGACAGCGTTGGGTCAGCGGTTGACGCTTGTTTGGCGTTGAGTGGTGATTCTTAGGCCGTCATCCTTCTAGACCAAGGGAGAGGACGGGGGTCGGGGCAAAAGGCGGCATTTAGATATTCTTGCTAATTAGTGTTTTGTTATATGGGTATCGGCTGCTCCTTTTTTCCTTCGCTGTTAATTTTCGGTTTTTTTCGCTTTCGTGTGGTTTTCATATTTTGAGGGGTTGGTGCTTGGGTGTATTTATGCTATTTGGGGGTTATTTCAATGAATCATGTTTGGGTTGTGGAGCATGGGGTGTCACTCGGCTAAAGATGATTATGGGGCAATACTTGAGCATGTGAATATGGTAAAACCTGATGGTGGACGGAAGGTGCAGAGCAGACAGTCTAGGGACTAGCAAGGCCGGATTTGGCGGAGCAAGGAAAAGAGAGAAACCACTAGAATACAGTTTTATTCATCGTCGTCATCCTCCTCATCGTCGTCTATGACCCTCCTGCGCTTACCAGCACGCACGGTACGGCTCGGCGCTCTCTCCTCATCCGTGAATTCTGCCTCCTCCTCCTCCTCCTCCTCCTCCTCCTCCTCAGGACTGGGAATCCTCTTCTTGACAGCCCTCTTTTTCCCATGACCTCTTCTGCGATCCCCCTCGTCTTCAGACTCCTCCATCTCATCCTCCTCATCATCCTCGCTCTTTTCCAAGAAACCGTCTTCAAGATCATACTCATCCTCCTTACTCCGGCCACCTTTACCCCCGATAGGCGGAGAGTCACGCTTACTCCTAGTGGTGTGACTGTTCCTCGGGTAGGATCTCCTTGCCGCAGCTCTGCTATCCTCGTCAGCGCCGGCGCCATTCCTACTAGCGCGGGCTTTCTTGGCTTCGGCTTTCTTAGCGAGTTTCTCCTTGTCGCGGTGTTGCTTTTCGGCCTCTTTGCGCTCGGCCTCTGGGTCGCGCATGTCTGAAATTTCGAGGGCTTGAGCACCGCGGCCGCGAGCCCCACGAGTGGATTGGGCTTGGTAGAGGCGTTCTTGGAGGCGGTTTACGGCTTCTGCGTTGGCCTGGGAGGTAGATGTTGGCAGGAGGTTGAGGTGGGTATTTACATGCCCGACAAAGCGGAGCATGCCAGCGGATTCGTGGGTTGTGAGGAGGTAGGTGTGACTGTCCTGAGCTGCGTCGTAGGCTTTTGAGTTCTGCGGCGGGGCGAGAGGCTTGGAGGTCAAGTCGTAGAGGTTTGGGCTCGAGGCGATTTGGAGACTTAGGGAACCGTCGGACCACTTTACTACTCGCGCGTTGGACTGTAGGACCGATGGGTTTGCTGGGGACTTGCGGACGCGGATTGTGGTTGTGGCCATTGTATATGGGCTTACGGTTGAGTCTTCGGTGGCCTTTGGCATTGTGAAATTTTCTGGGTAAAAGATTTGTTGTTGGAAGTTCACAGTTGATGGTATGCGCATTAAGTAGAGGTCGTCATTGCCTTGGTCTGGACAAGCATGGCGAGGGAGGGAGACATCGATTGAGTGGAAGGTTTGCTGTTCGTCGTTTCCTGGATCATGGGATGCGTGAGATTCGACGTCGCTTAGGTCCTTTCTGTAGATATCCGGTCAATATTTTTATAGATAGGCGCTGTAGAGGTGGGGAAGTAGATACTTCTCGGGCTCGTCGTCATCGTCATCACCGAATAGACCTCTATCACCATCCTCCTCCTCCTCCTCCTCGTCGTTCACGCCGTCAAGATTATCTGTTACTCTGCTTCTGCGTTTTCGTCCAATGTCTTCGTCGTCGGAAGCTTCCGCCTCCTCATCACGAGCCACCGCGCCTTCATTATCTGAGCCAAAGAGGCGATCATACTTATTTCCGGTTGGACGCTCGGGAGATGCTGCTAATGGAGAGGCTTCAATGTCTGAGAGGACGGATCCTGATTAATTTCGATTTGTCAGTAAGTTGGGATTGAGAAGTTCGCCTGGAAAAATCTCCCTTTTTTTCCTTTTTTTAAACAACGCTGAAAGGGGAATTACCCGGGGAAGACATGTTTACTGTTGAGGAATGGTGGTTGTAATGGTGATGGCGACAGGAGAGCTTAAGGTAGATTTGGTCGGGAATGGGTAGAGCTGAACGAGACGGGACTAAATCTAATCAGATCATGAGTTATCTAGTCATGTGATATTATGAACAGGGTACCGTCCAACGTAACTCCTAGCAACGGCGCTAAGCAACCCCCACCAGATGCCGGCACTCGAAAACAAAACAACAACGCATTTCTGTGCTGGACAAATCAGAGGCTTACTTTATTCCTGTTGGCTGGAATATTCCATCCTTGACTTCCCAATTATTCTCTCCTCTCCGCTGGCCGCTACAATTTTAGTTCCCGGTGCCACAATTATTATACGCTATCTCATTTCATCGTCTCCCTTCCTCTCTCCCTCCCTCCTTCTCTTCCTTACTCCCATCTTATTCTGACCACAAGTATCATACAAGCGCTCCATCACTCATTCCACCCAACCACCTTCCATTCAACTTCATCCTCATCTTCAAACCGTTGAAATTTTCAGATTTTTCCCTTCCGCTTTTTGCCTGAGGAATCTCAGGCCGCTACCACTACAACATTTACCATACTTATATTATATGCACACACCTATATCCTACACCCTACAATCTTCACACATCACATTCCTGGACGAAAAAGCACAACCTAATCTATCATACCTGTAGCCTTGTGCCTTGTTGAATTTCCCCATTCCGGGATTGGGATATATATAAACAAATATGGCGGACCAAGCTCGTGTCTCTTACATGACCAAGGAACAACTGGGTATTTATTCCATTTTCTCCACCATCAAAAGAATAATACTGCGAACTCGGCTTCAGGATGGCCTGGCTAACTCCCGTCTCTCCAGAATCGTACCTTTCTGATCTACGTTCCAACCGTCCCCAACGACCTAGCGGTGCCCGTCCATTATCATCAGCAGCTAAAACGAGATGGGCACCCCAGAGTTCCAACGACCCGACGGAAACAACATCCGAACCGTCGACATATTCCACTCCCTCAAGATTCACACCACCCCGTATAGCAAATACCTCTCCGGCCAAATCATTTAATGAGACGTCCCGGCGGGAGGGCTGGTTGCTGAGGAGGAATTCGCACAAGAGATCCAACACCATTTCCACACCGTCCTTATCCCCGTTTAAAACCACTTCTCCAACACCTGTGCCGTCTGATAAAGGGAAAGGCTGGGACGGCGTATCGCTTCAGAACGGGAGGATGGGGGACGTCCCAATTCCCCGTGTCCCAACACTTACTAGGAGTAACTCGGAGAAGAAGCGGGATTCGTTTAGTTTCCGGGACTTTTCCAAGTTTGGAAATGGACACGGGAGGTCGAATTCGGAGTCTTCTACCGCATCTACAAACTCTTCCACTGGCGGTGCTACAATCACGCGCAAGAAGAGTGTGACCTGGGCTTTACCTACGCTTTCCAGACCGTCTTCCCCTCCCCTCGTCGTTATGCCACCGACACATCCTCCTCCACGCTCCGCTACTCCACAGATTGAAGAGGAATTGACTTTGCATTTTAGATCATTGCCTAGCGCCCCGTTGCCTGCCGTTGCCCCGTTGAGGATTAACAAGACATCCATGTCTGGACGCTCGACGCCAACCATTGGAGGGAAGGGTTCTTCAGTCGAGCCGATGCAGAAGGGACTTCCGGTCGTGCCGGAGATCGCCCCAGGATTGAAGGAGTTTGCTGGTATTCAGGGTGCACGTAGGGAGTTTATTGAGCCGCATATGCGGGAGCCAACGCAGGAGAATAGCCCGCGATACACTACTAATCCTGTGCCATTGCCGTCCCCGCCAATGTCTGGGTCTGAGGGGGAGGATGCGGATGCTGCGGAGGCGGAGGCTTTGAAGGATTTGGGGAGAAGACCGTTGCCTAGAGTTGGGAGTGGGCAGACCACTGGTGCTGTTAGAAAGAATAATCAGAAGTATGGCGCTCAGGTGCAGCCTCCGCCACCACCGGTTGTCGGGATTGTCATCAGTGACAGTCCTCCACCTACTTCTTCGAGTTCTACCTCCACGATTACGGGGACTCCTCCTATTCCGACAATTCGTGCTCCGGAAGGCAATTCTCGGCCACCGGCGCCTGCCATAAGCTTCCCGAATGGTGTTGAGGCTAAGAAAGACACCAGGCCAGCTCCTCCAGTGCCTTCCATCTCACTTCCGGACGAGCATTTGCCCTCAGCTTCAGCAGAACCCCCAATTCCTACCCCATCTGCATCCAGGCGTCCTCTTCCTACACCTCGTGCATTCCCGAAACCTCCTTCCTCGAATTACTCTTCCGCGTCTTCTGCCGGCCGTGGCCCTACCGCTTCATGCGCGTATTGTAGAACCCCAATTGAGGGTCGTGTAGTGTCTGCTTCATCCCTTCGTTTTCACCCAGAGTGCTTCCGCTGCGACCATTGCCACACTCGCCTCGAACACGTGGGATTCTTCCCGGAACCCGAGGAGAGCCGCAGAAAACGTGCGGAGGCTTTTCAGGATGATAAGAGTTCTATATCTTCCGGATCTACTGCGGCCGCCCACAGAGTCAAGTTTTACTGTCATCTAGACTTCCACGAGTTGTACTCTCCGAGGTGTAGGAGCTGTAAGACACCTATTGAAGGTGAGGTGGTTATGGCATGTGGTGGGACCTGGCACGTTGGTCACTTTTTCTGCGCGGAATGCGGTGATGTGGGTTTTCACTGTCAAGCCTGGTTTGAGCGAGTGCTGACTTGTGATAGCCATTCAACCCCTCATCTAAATTCGTCGAAAAGGATGGATACGCCTGGTGTGTGGGCTGCTACCAGAAGCGCTATAGTGGTCGTTGTAAGAAATGCAGGCAGCCGATCACCGAGACTGTAGTCAAAGCCCTGGGAGCGGAGTGGCATGAGGCGTGCTTCTGTTGTACTGTATGATACTCTAGCCGCCAATTGTGATCTGCGTAACATGCTAATGGCTTGGCAGGAATGTTCCACCAAATTCGATGATGGCCGCTTCTTCATCCGTGGTGATAGGGGAAAGGAAGTACCCGTATGCGTATCTTGCGAGGAACGGAGATTGAAGGCTTGATTGTGACTTTGATTTTTGCTTTACTGACTTATGCCTTGCTTATTGTTCGCTTGCTTGGTTTGTGGAATCCGGTTATTCGTCCATCTGTCTATTACCTGGGTTGCATGTTGGAGTAATGCTGCTTGTTTGATTTTTTTTTTTTTTTTTTGCATAGATGCGGTGCATGGTGAAATTCATGTTTTATCTGGGTAGATTGAGCGATTGATTGCATGGCTTTGGAACAGCCGTTCATGAGGGTGGAAAAAATAGGGCGGGCGAGTGAGGACCGGTATTTTTGTCGTTTGATGTTGATTTTGTATTTGATTGTACTCTTACACAGCTAGTTTGCGGGCTGGCAGTATATCATTAAGTGAAATTTATTGTATTTGAGATTGTATTGTATTTAGGTGCTCTTCGTAGCAGAGTAGATAGTCCTGTTAATCGTTTCTGTTCTGATGTCATTGTGCTAGATTTCAGCAGCACCAAGAGTCCCGGCTCACGGTTTCTCACTCGAGAGTTTTGGGAGCAGAATGTAGCAACAATGTAGCGTGTGATATGTGTTTTATCTGAGCCAACAAGAAGGCACGAAGACCCCCAAATCGCCCCATTTTAAGCAAATAGCGAGATTCGGTTAGGGAGACCCTTTGCGACGCGAATAAGGCCCGTACGAGAAGATACGCTGTCTCAATGCGATGGAAAGTACTTGAACCTGTACAGAGGCAGGCCACCTGCCGTGCCCCCTGGCATGTGAGGAACTCTCTTGTGCCTTATCCATATGCTAGTAAGTATGATCGGGCACCTGAAGAGTGCAATAATTGGGGCGGCCTCTGGCGCATGTACAGAGATAAGAAAGCAAGCGGCAATGCTCCCCATTCTCGATCCTTATCGCCCCTGCACTTTACCTTCCCTCTCCAACTCTTGCTCAACCTCCCAGAAAAGGCTGCGAGATTATGCCATACGGTGGGGGTGGTGCCTCCACCGGCTCTATCCCACAATTCAATCTCCCCTAAAACGTTGGGCCATTTTGACCGCTCATAATGCTGGCTAAACCCAACTTCAACAAACATTACAATGGATAACTTTCGCCGCGATCGGGACAAATTACTAGCACTTGCATCAATGAAAATGAAGCCTCGTGGGCACCCTTCATGGACGAGTGATATGTAATGAGCGATTTGTCACCCTCGCCCTGCCCCCTCCCCGCCCAGGCCACGCACTACTTTACTGCAAGAGGAATTACTCACCTGCGGCAAACACGCAACCCTACTCCAGATCAGACCCTTCTACCCTATACCTACGATTTTTGTCTTTCTTTTCACTTGCCCCTTCCCTTCTCCTATCATACTTCTTCTCCCTTCTCTTCTCTACACTGCATCGTACCAGACTATCATACACAGAACAAGACAGTACATACCACACAAACTTTCCACTCTTTCAGTCACAGTTCCAGGTTAGGTTTGTTTTCCTTGCGGTGGTTTTTCTCCTTCTCCTGTTATCATACTTTTGTTCTCTTGTCTTAACTTACTTTTTGTTCGTCTCTCTCTCTTACTTTTCTTCTCTATGAGTTTTTATTTCCGTTTTTCTACAGGGCCTTTTTTGACCTTGCCTGGCCTAGTTGTTTCTCGTTGGGGAGGGTTTAGTAGTCTCACTTGATCAACCGCTACTCATAACTCAACCTTTCCTACTGGAACCGCCCTGAGTACTAAAAGGTTTTGAAGCTTTGGTTTGTCTATTCCTCCTTTGCTATCTTCTATTATAATTCTGTAGTGTTATTATATTATTATTTACTTCACTTTTTTCTCGTTCTTTGTTATGGGGGTTTTCTCTTGTCACTAATCTTTTCTTTTAGGGAACCCACTACTTCAGCTTTATAATCAAATTTCTCACTTCGTCAAACACAGCTCTTCCGGCTCAATCTTCTTTCCACAATCGTACTCTTCAAAAAAAATTCCTACTACTCCTACGGGTCAATCTTGCCTACACGATTCTATTTCCTGGGAGACTTGAAATTTATTTGGTTTGTTATTCCTTTCATTCTGTTATTTTTTTTCTCTCTATTATTATTATTTTTTTCCATTGAAGTTAGCTATTTTACTTCAGAGAACTACTTTGTCTGCTTTATATTGTAAAGTTTCTCACTCGAGTAAACATCACTCCTGCGGTGTAGCATTCCCAACGCTATTCCATCACTTAAAAGATTATCTTTTCATTATTTCCTTCTATTTTTCTTTTTTTCTCTTTGTTACTAATTTTTCCATCTTAGAAAGGTTCTCGATCAACTTGACATTGTGAATCTTCTCATATGAGTATACATTACTCCTATATTTAGCCTCAACTGCATTATTCTACCTGCTCTTGGAGATTTAGGAAATCTGGTTACTTGATCGACTTTGTAGCAGAGTTTTCCCCTCGACCAAGCTTTATCGGTATTCACAACTTAGGTTCCCTTTTTATGCTAATTATTTCTCTACAGAGAATTGGTTGCTTTGACTTACCAGTCAAGACTCTCAACTAGTCAATACAATTCTCCCATTCGATCTTCCTCAAAGAATTATATTTCCTAAAAAAAAAAAAAAAAATTAGGAAGTCCACTGAGTTTGTTGCCTGCTTTCCGCTTTTCTTTGTTTTGTTTTTATTGTTGTTAATTAATTCTATTTAGGAAATTAAACCTTACACCTCGAAGCCTCCAACTTTGTCAACAAAGAATCTTACGACTCACCATTTCCTACACTACTTTTATTACAAATTTTTGTCAGTTTTTGTTACTCCTTCGTTCTTATCTCTGGCAATAACTACATTACTTAAAGGAGGCTCAGTAGAGAAGTTAACGTCCTTTCTTGGTCCGTTAAGTTTTTTTTCCTACCGCAGTTGATCAACTGTTGCTCTCAACTTAACCTTTCGCACTACTACTTCGGGTTTCTCGCGGGTTTCAGAAAATTTTCTGGTTTGTTACTTCCTTGCTTTCTGATATTTTTTTTTGTCTTTATTTTGTCTATTACTAAGCATTTCTATTTAGGGAACAAATCTCCTCCCTAGTATTACACTAACAAGATTGAAAACATCACTCTTTTACTGGTTTGTTGCTTCCTTATTTTCTATTACTTTACTTTCTTGCCCTTTTTGGTTTTCAATTATTATTTCTTTCTTTTTACCTCATCACCTTTCCCTCATCTAGCTGTTTCTAAAAGCTCTTGCTTCTCTTTCAACTAAATATTCTTTACAACTCAAGGGATCTCTTATTCTTAATACCAATTACACACTCTAACAGAAGAACCTCGATAGTGAAGTCAAATATTCTTTTCTCTAGCACTCAAGTTTGCTCTCTGAAAAGGAATTGGGTGAAATTGTTCTCTTGATCAACCTTTACCACTGCTCAATCAACTGTTACCGTTACCGTTACTGCTAGATTTTGCTGCCGTTACTTGATTTCTTGAAAAGATTCTACAATTTATTTGGTTTGTTAACACCTCTCACTGCTCGTTCTCTCTTCTTTCCTCCTTGTTACTAATTATTCCTCCTTTAGTGAATCAGTCTTAACTTTAATTCTACTCTATCAAGTTCAAAACACTTGACTTTATCGAGTAATACAAATTCAACTCAGGTAAGATGTGATCACATTTAGAACTTTATTTCTAATTGCTAACATGGTTTATTATTAGATTTTTTTTCTTTTCATCTTCTACCGATAGCAGTAAGTCACCTCCTCTTACCAGTAATCTTAGACGCAAAATTAACAACAATTTTACAGGATAAAATGCCACGCAGATCTGCTCGTCTCGCAACCGCTAGTTCTACTGAGAGGTCTGAGAGACTCCTCGCAGATCATATGGCCTCAGTATCTGCTGAAGCTGCTGATAACTCTCTCGCCTTGGCCGTTCTCCGTCCTGGAAATCCCCATGAACACCCAGGACTTAATCGAATTATCCCGTCGTCTACATGGCCTGCGTTCTTGACCACTTTGTCCAAGATTGTTAAGGATAACTGTAATGTCTATCCATACGTTGTTCACTTCCCCACTATCGGGAATAAGAAACGTCTTATTCGCTTGCTCCAGAGTGGACCAAAGGGTTTGAAGAACAGGAACCCAAGTGGGGAAAACGCTCATCAGCAGTCTGAAGCTCTAAAAAAGCAAATCATGGCTGTCAACGGTGCTGTCGGTGTGGAGAGCGCAAGCAATCCCAGTTCTAGTAAAGGAACCGTTTATGTGTTTGCAAATCAACTTGCAAAGTCTGCATCAGCGTATCCCGGCGTGGTCAACTTTCCCGATGGACCCCCGAGGCAGATTAATCTTCACTATTACGTTGTCTATTACAAAGCTGGGAAGATAACTATCTACGACCCTGAGTGGATTCCTGGACCCACAAAGGTGTATGAGCTTCCGAGAGCAACTCTCTTCAAGAGATGGATTGAAGCCCTTCGCTCCCGTAAAAGAAGGGTTGAGGAGGTCTGGATTGGTGGCGGCGATAGCCATGAGTATCCGAGTGCTGAGAAGGCATGTCGGGCTTGGCTGCAAGAAAACTTTGACAAGACGTCCGGACCAGTTGTTGAACCTAATAAAAGGAAGGAATGGGCCAAGTTGCAAGTATAAATATACCAATAGAGAGAAATCTTGAGACAAGGTATGGAAATGATCAGTGGCACTGGTTTGCTGCATATTCATCTTTTTTTATTTTTTAGCATCAACTGACTGCACGCGCTCAGTTGATTTCTTGACCTGTTCTATAGGTGTGTTACTGCTGTCTGTTACTGAACGTCTGGTTTCTGTTTCTAAAATTCCTATAGTGTTTAAAGTGTGTGTTGCTTTTTTACTATTTCTTTTCTCTTTCTTCAACTTCATGTTCTGGGTTGCTGGTGTTTCATACTTGATTTTACTGGGACGTTGCGATACTGAGAGTTTATTTTAAACAGTTTCGGCGTGAAAAACTAACAGTAATAGAATTTCCTTTTACTGCTTTTTTTTTTTTTTACATATGCTCCTCATTTGCTTTATATGCTTTCTTTTCCAGACTACTGCCAGCCCA